TCGTACGTCTACTACTCGTTGTCGTCTCTCTCTCTCTCTCTCTCTCTACTACTACACTACACACACACACTACACACACACACACACACACACTACACACACACACACACACACACACACACACACACACACACACACACACACACACACACACACACACACACACACACACACGCACACACACACACACCTCTGTTTCCCCATCTCTCGCTCTTCGCCTTCTTCTTATAGTTGTTGGCATCCCATCCCCCCTCGCTCTCTTTCCCTCACCCTGACTTCATCAGTCACGCGCGCCTATCTACGCTTGTCGTAACTAAGCCTCGCGTCGTGCTCACTAATGAACCGATCAAGCCCGTTCTAGAGCACGAATTCACGTCGGCAACGTGAAAGCATCGAGTGAAGGAACGAAATAATTAAACAATTGTGACGAAATACTAAATTACTAACTTATAAAATTACTAAATATTGACGTGGCGCCGTTACAAAAATGTCAAAAAAATTTAAAAAAAGAATTACACGAGCGGAGAAATAAACGCACGTACCTGTTCCGAACTGAGCTCTTCCCTATAGGATGCGCGCGCGGAATTCTCTCGTTACCTTAGCGCTGGTATCCTCGTGGCGGCTAGTCTCCTGCGCTGTGATCACACTCAACAACTTTCGCGTTGAAATGCTTTCTACTCGTTCGCTCTCCGACGCGCCACGTGGCGTGAGGAAAGTAATGCAGCCGCTGCGGGTTGATGCTACTGCCTTTTCGGGTTGAGACTGTGTTAAGTACAAACCAGCCAGATGACGCAGACGCACCGCCTTCGGGTATCGAATCGAGTAACCGAAAAGACAGCCACCGGGGGACAGAGTCGGTAAATAGCCTGCTGGGCAGTTGCTGCTCGGAAGCTTTCGCCAGACGAGTGGGCGCGATCCGCAGCGACACCTAGCAGATAACTATGCAATGAATCACGCCAGTTCTCTCTCTCGGGTGCGCTGCTTCTCCCCTGATCCTATAAAGACGCGGCTAGTGGATCCTATAAAGACGCGGCTAGTGGATCCTATAAAGACGCGGCTAGTGGATCCTATAAAGACGCGGCTAGTGGATCCTATAAAGACGCGGCTAGTGGGCAGGCGAGAGACGGGCAGGCGGGTGTACACGCGTCCGCGTGGGATGAAGCGTTGGCGTTGGCTTTACGATACAGACGCCTGCGAGTCGAGTCTATAAGCTTCCCCCAGTCACACCTATCGCTAGCTCGTCATCATCGTGTACGGATCGCACACAGCCGCACGTTGCCATCGTATTAGCAGCTACCGACTCCACCACCCCCTCTCCCCCGAAACCCCGTTCCCGGAGGTGAGCCCCCCCCCCCCGAGTGCTGACTATATCAGCGGAGGAGAAGTATACACGGTACCGGAGTATGAGGACGCGTGCGGTCTGTGCATCAGGTGTCCATCGTTAGAAACCTCGTAAATATGTGCGACCTTCATATTCGTTCAAAATCGCGTAACCTTTGCGCGAGACATTATTTCAATAGTTATGACATTCATACATATGATGCCTAGTTATGATGTTTCTAATAACGGACCCCAGATGTTAGAAATGAGATGTCAGGGTTGAAGAAGATCTCTCTCTAATGTGATATCCGTATCTACTAACAAGAGAAAACGGGAAAGAAGACCAAGATTGGAAAAAATTATATATATATATATATTTATATATATATATATATTTATCTATATATCGAAGCAGGCAAGCTGTAGAAGGTTGTTACCGCTTCATCCCCACCCCTGCCCCCTGTTCCAACATACCCGACCATTCCACATACGTATTATTACTACTGCTTGTGCTATATATGACCACCTACTATTGTAAGTCAGATGAGACCGCGAATTGTCGAGTTTGGTCGCGTATATTAGGCAACAATCGCTAAATGAAATCGATCGACAATTCCGCGAAAGCCTCGATGTCTCATCGCTCTCCTATCTCTTCCAGATCGTAGATGCCAAGCCGGAACTCCGGGGGAGGCTAAGCGCTGCAATGAAGCGACGACGTGCACGCATCGCTGCGTAACCCTGCATCAGATCGATCTATGGATTGAACCGATACTTCTACTCCGCCCACACTCTCTAACTCTCTGACTCTCTCTTTCTCTCTCTCTCTCTCTCTCTCTCTCTCTCTCTCTCTCTTCCCTTCGCCCTCCTCTCCTCTCTCTCTCTCTCTTCTCTCTCTCTCTCGCTCTCTTCTATCTCCTCTCTCTCGCTCGCTCTCTCTCTCTCTCTCTCTCTCTCTCTCTCTCTCTCTCTGTGTGTGTCTATCTCTCTGTGTGTGTCTCTCTCTCCGATTTTTTCTCTGACTTTCTCCCCCTTTGTCTCCTCCTCCTACTCTCTTTCTCTCACTCTCTCGCTCGCGCTTTCTTACTGTCTTTGTTCCCTCCCCACCGCTATCGTCGCTTCCTTTATGTCGCTATCACGCATCGCGAACAGCTGGTTGCCGCAAATACCGTCACTTGTTATGTAAAACAGACGACAAATGCGTACGACCGGTTCGTGGTCGTGGCCGCGCGCGCACGGAAAAAATATTTCATTTCGTGCAGATCTGACGTCATAGTGTGTTTATTATTCGGACGTAAAGTTTCGGCTGTTTGTCTTATTTTTGTATCGCATTTATCGACATGCGCCGGGTAGTCAATTCGATTTTACTGTCTGCAATTCGTTATCGTATTAGGCGTAAATCCATAAAAAAAATCGATTAAAATTTATATTAGAGAAGCAATCAGAAGGGTGGCGTATTCGACCCCCGAAATATTGTCATCTACGAAATTTCCGACTTTACAATTTCTCCCGAAAGCCCTATCTCGCGTAATGAAATAATAATTGAACAAATAAACATAATGTGTTAGGACTAATTAATGGCGTCGCATTTGAGCGCCGGGTATCACAGTGATCGATGCATTCGGCACACCTCGGCCAATTCCGTACCGTCATTCAAACGGGGTATGCAAATATTGATCACGCATACAAATAAAACTATCTATATAGAATATCCCTACGCATTCTAACTTATTCCATATAACGCATATTTCTATATCGGCAACTTCATGGAGTGAATTCACTCCAGAAGAGCCGTATGAAACGCGCCTACGTATCGCGGTAAAATACCGATGAAATCGATTTTGATGAAAAATACCAGTGAATCTAATTGGAATGCTTCTTGCTTCAACCGATTTTATTGTTTTACAGAGTACGGCAGGGAATTAAAAATGTAGTTTCATTAGTGGTTATATTTTTTTCCGGCGAAACGAGGTTAGGCTTAGAAGCGTACCAAAATATGTGATATGGTATCCATCCATCCATCTATCCATCTATCCATCCATCCATCCATTCATTCATTCATCCATCCATCCATCCATCCATCCATCTATCCATACATACATACATCCATCAATTAGCCGCCCATCCCTCTATCTATCTAGATATCTAGAT